TGCCTAAGTGGCCAGACTTGCAGTCCGATGTCTCTGTTTTAATTGTCCTAAAGGTCACCTGGGTCCAGGACCCAAAGGAGATTTAAGGATGACAGTGTATGTAAAATTCACAAGCTCAAGGTGTATATAAACTAACAGAATCTGCCCGGGGCTGATTGGGCATTAGCTGGGAGCTGAACAGGGGCCACACAAGAGTTCTTCCTTCATCTCTAAGTGTCTGGAGCGATTTTCTCTAGGAAGGTATAATAAATCTGTAACATAGTAAAGGCAGCCTAACTCCCTTGATTGCTTTGATCTATGGCCACTCAAACGGCAGGCTGTTTTTCTGCCCTGGATACATTAGGTAGCCAAATACAGTATAGACCACCACTTAACTTTACATTTCAGAAAAACTACTGTGACATCGGCTTAATCATGGCCCATGCATTACCCACGGCGTAAGGAAAGTAAGAAACTATTTGTTTTGTTTTCTTAGTTATATTTTCCTGACATTCAAATCGAATCAGGAATCTGGGCTTCGTTTTGTTGAAGCGAAAGCCAGGCATGATGCTTTCACAAAATCCCCTGATCTGGGACAGTGTTTCTTAGAGGACCATCCTCAGTGGGTCCTCAACACTGGCAACCCCGGGTTCAAAGGGAAAGATTGCAGACATGTAGAATGCAGAGCCCACGCTGGACATTCTTTTAATGGATGCTGTTGATCTTGAGGGTAAAGCCGCTGACCTTCGGAATGTTGCCTGTAATGCCACCTGACACCAGCACGCAGGCTCTGTTACTCAGTTGGGGCTTACTACCTGTCACAAAACGATGTAGACTACATTAAGTACGTCGGAACTGGTACAAAGTGTCCCTTACTTAGTGTGTCCGTAGCTTCCCCTAGGCTTCCAGGGCCGTGTGCACTGCATTCTGCAGTGACCTGGGCCCTGGGCATTGCATTTGTGGCCCGTGGCTTTGCGCTTGCCCGCCCGCACCTGTTTCTGTTCCTGTTGGAGTCTGTGAACCAGAGACTTTATTCTCCAGGCAGGATTCGCCAGTTGTGGAGGGGCGGGGCCTGGCTGTGTAGGGCCACGTGTGCTGGAGCTAAGCAGGAAGTGACTGAAGAGTGGAGCCCGGGCGAGCCAGTGGCATTCGGGGCTGATGGAAGTGGAGAGGGGGCTGGAGAGGGCACCCTAGTGAGTCGCCTTTTCTCTCCTTCAAGCCCGCGATCCCGGGCAGTCACAAGAGTGTGCAGCGGTCTTGAGGTCACAAAGGGTTGTTTTAGGGAGGGCAGGTCCTGGAGGAGCAGCAGGGGGCTGTGGCAGGTGACAGAGGAGGAGGGGTATTCGGGCCCCCTCTGCTCCACCCTCGGGTGAGCTGGAGACAGCGATCTGAGGCCCCTCCGTGCACAACCAAGGGCCTCTTCATTCATTGTTTCATGGCGGTGTGCAGGGAACGGGGTTTCTCCGGGAGCCCATGGCAGCAGTTCAGAGGCCCCTCCCACTCCCCTCTGCAGCTGGTCTGGGGGAGGCCTGAGAGTCGGTGGCAGGTGGCAGGGTGCCTGCTAGAGAACTTTGAACATTCAAACCGACTGTCCAGATCCCGCTCCAGGGCGTCTCTGGTGGAGCCTGGCCTGCGTGTTCTGTGCAAACTCACCGAAGCCGGGCGGTGCCTTACTTTAACTAAACTAGCGTGGTGAAGTTGGGGAGGCAACAGATTTTTAAAAGAGTAGGGAAATAAACAGAATAAAACAGGACCGAAGGAAATGTACTGGCTTTATCGGAGGTGGCTGCTCTCTGTGTAGTGAACATGCATTTGCACAGCCCGATGACTTTTTGGAAGTTAGGATGAATGGAGGACTGTCCTCTCTCCTGGTCACTGGTCCAGTTTATGATGCTAGTATCCGGCTCTTGAGGAAGTCTGAAGCAGGCTGCCTGGCATGATTTGGAGGTGCTGTGGCTGGCGTGTCCTGTTCCTAAGAGCTTATTGATCTATTACATACTTGAGGAAGCCAGTGCCAGTCTCTTATAGGGCAGGACTCACTAAAGCCTTGGCTGTGAAGGAACTGGTCTGGTTTATGTATCTAGCTGTGTTTAAGAACTACCCATGGAGTTAGAAAGCTGCAGAGTTGGGATCCAGCAAGTGTGGTGTCATCCGCGACTCTGCTGTTTAAGTAGGTGGAACTCGTTTTGGTAGAGTGCTTGCCTACTCTGCACAAAGTTCTGAGTTTGATCTCCTGCAGGCGTGGTAGCTAGCACACACGTGTAATCACAGCATTTGGGAGGTGGATGGCAGGAGGATTGGGAGTTGAAAGTCATCCTCTGCTACACAGTAAGTTCCAGGCTACATTAAAACAAAACAAAAAAGCTGTGTACCTTCTGAGTGGAGTCGCCACTCTTTGACAGCCAGTTTTGAAACAGGGAATGGAAGAAACTTCCCCTTGGGGTGCTGTGCCTGCTTGTAATAAGTGCTGTTGGTGGATGGACGGGCATGGCCTCTCTGCGTAACTGAGCACTGAGCTTAGGAGAGATTTTCCTATCCCTCCAGCTGCCATGATCACCCACAACTCCCTTCTGTTTGATTTTGCTGGTTGGCAAATGAGGTTCTTTTTTTTTCTTCTTTTCCTCAGTAGCTGCAAAAGAAACAGTCAAGTACTTGGGGGGTGTTTTATGCTATGCTATGATCTGTCCTGGAGAGTGAGGATTGAGGGGAATGGGGTTTTTTTTTGGGGAGTCTGTCTTTGTAAATGTTTAACGTTTTACTCACTGGTGAGTGGGAATGGTCACTTCACTAGTGGTCCAGGGTTGCAGTTAAAGCAAACACAAGTCCCTCATTTTATTTATTTATTTATTTTGACACAAGATCTCACTATGTAGCCCTGGTTCACCTGAAACTTGCTATGTAGAGCAGGCTAGCTTCAAACTTGCAGAGATCTGCATGCATTTGCCTCTAAGTGCTGGGACTAAAGATAAGTGTCTCCATGCCCAGCACACACCACTCTTGAGGTTGACTAGATTTGGGAATGCCATAAAAAGGCTATTTTCTTGCTTGCAATTATTTTTTTAATTATTAATTTGTGCAGTCACAGTCTTGAGTTTCTACATCCGTGTGTCTAACCTGCACCCCAGTATAGAGATGAGTACAGCCCAACACAAAATAGTAAACTTACTTAAACATTGTGAGATTTGGGAAAGGGTACATTTTAAAACTACTTTTTAAGATGTATTTAGTGTGTTTGTGTGTCAGGCTTGTGCATTCCATGGTGTAAATGGTGGAGGTCGGAGGATAGCATGTTGATTCTTTCCCTCATGTGAGTACTGGGAATTAAACTCAGGTTGTCAGGTTTGGTGGAGTTGTTGTTGTTACTTGACTGTGGTTCTCTTTAACAGCAATGTCCTTTTGAAATGTCAAAAGGTTGCATATATTCGGAATTTGATCCCATAGGTGGTTTTACCTTAGACCTAGCACAGGGGCCCAGCTGGTCTCATCTGAGCCCATGGCCTTTTCCCAGTGTGGACTGGGTATAGGGCCCTGTCCAAACTCTGCCATGGTTTGCTCTAAAGCCAGCAGTGGAGGCTTCTTTAGCTCTTGATGTGCAGGCGCGGAATAATTCCTGGCTGCTCAGCCCCAGGGAGCGAAGCCAGGTGGGGTCAGGTCCAGTCCTGTGGGTGCTGGAGAGCGAGCGAAAGGGGAGCTGAATGGGGCCTTTGAGTGGAGGCCCCGCACCTAGTGTGTGCCAGGGCACACGGCACTTCACAAGTGGGCCTCCCTGCTTTGGAACTTTCCACAGGAGAAGGCTGACTGTTATTTCAGGCTATGGTCTCTGTGTTGAGGAGGTTCTCTGGGCCCACATGAGAGAGGGCCCTTTCTTTTCTTGGTGGACCTATGTGCTGAGCTCCAGGGCAAGCGCTGTTTGTAGTTTCATTTTCTTGCACTCTCTGGTTCTCCTGTCTGGGTAAGCTGGTTCATCTCACTCAGCAAGTAGTTCTCAGGGCGCGGGTGCCCATACCCCTTCTCACAAGACCGCAAGGAAGTGTCGTCTCCATCCTCAAGCAGTGAGGCATGTAAGAGACGAAAGGGCAGCCTCCAATAGAAAGCAGCAAAGATATGGTGGATATGTTTGGATATGGTGGGGGATCACGGGAGGTTTTGTCACAGAGCTGGCATCCGGCAGGCCTCAGAGGAGGCTTTTGGGTTTAGAGGGCAGGAGCTGTGGGAGGAAGGCATTTCTGAAGGGGCTTATGGGAAGAAGAAGAAGAAGAAGAAAAGAAGAAGAAGAAGAAGAAGGAAGAAGAAGAAGGAAGAAGAAGAAGAAGAAGAAGAAGAAGAAGAAGAAGAAGAAGAAGAAGAAGAAGAAGAAGAAGAAAAAACAAAAAACCAAAACCGTGGAGTCACAGCTGTCTGGGTTTGTAGAAACGCTGTAGTGGACTGAGTTGAATGGGAGCGTGGTGCTTATGCTGGGTGCTGTTCGACTTTGAGTTGGAGAGTCCATGGAGGAGGGAAAGTCTTTCAGTGGAATTTACCTTACATTTAGCCAGCAGGCTGGCGTGGGGAGCCAGAAAGGTGTGACGAGGAATCAGATGGAAGCACTTTAGAAGGGAATTTGAGCTTGTGGCCTATATTTGGCAGCGACTGAGAAGAAATGACCATCAAGAACAGGTGCGTGGGAGGAGCCGGGAAGGCTGTGGTGGGATCTCTACGGTCCCTTTCCTCCGTGCTACACGACTTAGCTCTTCTCCACCATGCTATACGTCTTAGACCCTTCCGTGAGTCTCTCTAGAGCACATTCCCTGTACTGCAGCCTCTTGGGAGGGCTTCCTGGCCTCTTTCTCCCGATGTTCTCATGATACCTTTTAAAGTTAGCTGACTTTTGATATCTCTGGAGCCCCGGTGAAAGGCTATTTATTGCAGTGGTGTGAAGATGCAGATCGCCTACTCTGACACAGAGCACACCATAGGCAGGGGTTTGCTTTAGGGTGTGCATAAGTCGCTTCAGCATCTGACTCTCGTTCTTCTGTACACAGCTGTATCCAGCATGCTCCAAGGCTACAGCTCCGTGTTCCAGGCCTTGCTGGGGACCTTCTTCACCTGGGCAATGACAGCAGCTGGAGCAGCTCTTGTCTTCATATTCTCCAGTGGGCAGGTGAGTTGGCTCATTTCTGGAAGTTCACAGGGGCCCTTCGGGAGCTCTGAAACTGTCCCCTTCCACACAGGCCACACAGGAAGTTAGTTGGTGAGGTGGCAATGTCCTGTCACCTCCTTGTTTTCTTTCTGTCTCCTTCCTAGGGCCAGGGGACAGGTACACAAGCCACACATTGTTTTCCCCCTGAATCTGCCTCTGGCACAGGGACTCGAAAAGGCGTGGCACCAAGGGACTAGCTCTTTCGCTTCCATTTAACCTGCTGCCTCATTCCAAGCCTCCGTCTAATTTCCTGCATGCCTGGAGCAGGGAGTACTGCGCAGGCTTCAAGATGCTTAGGTTTCAGATAGAACTGCCCTCCCTGTGGCCTTGAGTTAGTCAGACAATTGGTAAGACCTTTGGGGAAGGAGAGGCTTGCTTCTCTTCTACCCCAGCCCAGGGCATTTCATTCCTACCCGTTGGCTGAATATTGACAGGCTCACCTCCTTAACCCCTGTAGACCATGTCTGCCCCACCCCCTGGATGTATACAGATAGACCCACCTACTCACTTTCTCTTCTGATATCGTGGAAGCCCACCCTTTCCTCGAATGCATCCCTGTCTCAGATGAGTATAGATAGGGTCCCCCTCCATGTGCATGTTGTGTCTGCCCGTCCCTTGCTGCGTATGTCCTCCACACATCCTACAGATGGCCCTCAGTACTGTCACTCATTCCCAGGCCAGACATTCTGGCCCCACATCCTGACCAGATCTCTTATATCTCTCCATCTTTCCTTCCTTTGCACTCCACGTCCTTATCCCCCCTCCTCCACTCTCTACATACCCCCTCCTCCTCTCTGTACCGCAGGCATAGTCCATACCCACCTCCTGTGCCTGAAATTCTGCCCTCCTCCTACCCTGAGCTGACCCATCCCCACTCAGAGCCACTCATGGCTGTCCTTGAAGAATGCAATCCTCACCTTGCTCAGGGGTGCTTGGAGATGTTGCAAGATTGGCCCATGAGAAAGCAACTAAGATCACTTTAAACACACGGAGCCCTGGATCTAGAAAGGAAACTCCTCTAGAGCAGTCAATGTCTCAGGCCCCTTGTGTTATAGACCAGTTCGGCAGGTACTGGCTTCGGCAATAAGATACTGCCTCCCACACTGCTGCCTCCACCCTACTGGGGGAGGTTGGTTGGCCCAAATCTATCATTTGGAGGCTTGGATGTCGAATTATACAACCAGGTATTACGGGGTATGGGAGGTCTCCGTGTGTAAGATACCTGGATAGGTCAAATTCACAGATACAGAATACAACGGCACTTGCCAGTAGCTGAGAGTAGGGAGAGGGAGGAGGGAAGAGGGAGGAGGGAGGAGAGAAGAGGGAGTGGTCTGGAGGAGCCTTGTATGCAATGACCATTGTCACTCAGCATGCTGTCCTTGAGGAACCTCACTGTCCCAGTATGGGAGCCTCTCCCCTTCTTAATGGTGAAGAGCATTACATCATATGTTCAGAGCATAAGTGATTACCTCCTGTGCATGATAGATGCAAAACAGATGTCTCTATTGGAATAGATGCACACAGAAAGGTTCACGTTTTATACCTACGCAGTTTATTATAAAGGAAGGTCCATGAATCTGGGCCGAGGTCAAGTGCCAGCTCCTCCCGGTCCCTTTAGGCTCCTTCCCAGTTGCCATCCCCACCTGGACTTCCACTCCACCTGTATCACCCCCACTCTGCCCTGTCTCTTCCACAGTGTGGACATCCTTGCTTGTTAGATGCTGTACTCACGTAGCATTTACTGACACCCAATTCATCCTGACCAGTTCCCGGTTTACTTAATGCTTCTGCCAGTTGTGTACGCATGCATGTCTATGCCTATCTCGGCACATGTGCATGCACACTGTGTGTTCCTTGTGCATGTAACACGTGTGCTCATTTTCTTTGCCCTGTGGTATCTCTGATTGTCCCCCGTGGTGTATCTGCCATTCTGTGGGTGGGACTTGGTGCAGTTTCTAGTTTTGGGATCTTATGGACAGTGCATCTTGTCCGTGGCTTTGGTGATCCCCAGCATGCATTTCTGTCGTTTGCCAGTAGTGGCACGTGCATTGTAGTCGACTGCCATTAGTCCCACCACATGGCTTTCTGTGTGACGTGATTGTGCCAGTTTGTGTCCCCACTGTGTGACCGTTTTGGTGGCTCCTTATGTCCCTCATCATCCCTTGGTCACTTCCACATTTTTAATCAACTACTTACTAGAGGCAAAGGGGTGCTGGGTAAGACAGAATGTGCAGGCTTGTGCACCCCAAGCCCCCCCCCCCAAGGGTACTTCTCATTGACTCTGGAATGGATGGAAAGTAAGATCTGGATGTCACACCAGCTTAGGAGTAGGTAGGGGCTGTATGGCATTCTCCCGGCTGAGGCCACAACATCTTGTCCTTGGAAACTGAAACATCTCACTTTTTCATTTTCAGAGGCGGATCTTAGACGGAAGTCTGGGCTTTGCTGCAGGGGTGAGTCGCATCTAGTGGGCCAAGTGTGTTGATCCTAACCCTTCCTTCCCTGGGGCTGGTGCCAGCCCCTCACACAGTCCAGGTGCACTTTCTGTAAGAGCTAACGCCTCCTCCCGTCACCAGCTGTGTACATTTCCCAGCTTATGCAGTGCTCTTGACTCTTGTTAGTTGGAGAAGGGAGTGGTTCAAGACCTAGAAAATAAGATAACAGCACGATAAATAGCGTGAATTAAACAGCTCCTTTCTCTTCTTGAAGGGCTTTCTAAAGGATTTGTTTTTATTTGTAATTGTGGAATGTGTGTGGGGTGGTGGCAATGGTATGTGCAGGCCCCCCCCCCAGGTCAGAAATATCAGGTCTCACTGGAGATGGGAGTTACAGGAGGTTGTGAGACCCCTCTTGTGGGTGCTGGGATTCAAACTTGTCATTTGTAAGAAGTGTGCATTCTTGCCTGCTTCACCATCTCTCCAGCCCTAGGACTTTTTTTTTAAATGTACTTTTAAGCACACAAGGAAAAAAAAAAAAAAAAAGATAATCTATATCCTCAGCACACATCATCCACCTGCAGTCATGATTGACATTTGGCAAATCTCATTCCATCTGTCTCCCTTCAGCCTTCTCGGGAACTCAGAATGTTTTATAAAAGCAAATCCCAGATCTATGTAATTTCACCTGTAAATTCAATATGTATCTCAAGCTAAGTGACTTCTTGCGAAACCATAATCAGTATGCCACCGTCACATCTACCGAAATGCAAACAGTAATTCCTCACTGTAATCTAGTGCTCAGTTTGTATTCATATCTCCTCTGTCTTCTCCAAGGGATCCTGTAAGATTATTCTGCAAGAGCTGGGATCCATAAGAAATTGTTGGCCATATTTTTCCAAGCCCTCCCAAGTCTCCCCCCTAAGCCGGTAATCTGTTGGAGAAGCTAGGTTTCTAGAACGTTCCACATTCTGGGTTTGGTGGATTCCTTCCTTATGGTGTTTAGAACCTTTTTTTTTTTTTTTTTTTTTTTTTTATATAACCAAGTCCATTTAAATGAAAACAAACATTTATAGACAATATTTTGGAATTTGGGCGTCATTCTTTCCAAACTACTTCCTGCTGGTAAGGGGCGTTGTCATGGGGGATTCGAAGAGGATTCAGAAATCCTGGCTGTAGTCTGTAAGGCTGCTTTGTCCAGCTGTTTTGAATGTAGGATCACCTGGTACTCTGTTTCAGGTGGTCTGGGTTGATCAAACCACATTAGTCTGGAAGGAATCCACATCTTTTCAATTTCTGTGGAAACAAAAATAGAAATCCTTTTCTCCAGTAACTTGTTCTTGAACTTAAATTTTGGAGTCAAAGCTTTTTTTTTTTATTTATTATTTTACATGTCGATCCCAGTTTCTTCTCCCTCTCTCCTTCCCTTCTTTTACCCTCTCTGCCCTCTCACATGCACTCTAACCACCCTCCCCTCCCATCCCCCATCCCAATTCCATATGTAGGGGAATGCCATCCAATTGGGGCCATGTAGGTCTGATCTGACAGGTCATGTGAAGTAGGGACTAGGGCTTCTCTCCTGTCTCTAGATTAAGGCAGTTATCCCTCCATGGGGGATGTGTTCGCAAAGTCCTTTTGTGCACCAGGGATACATCCTGGCTTCACTGTCTGAGGTCCCTTAGACTGCTCAGTCCTTCTGGCTGAGACCCATATTCAGGGGGGCCTGAGTCAGTCCCCTGATGGCTTCCCAGCTATCAGTCTGGGGGCCCGTTAGCTCCTCCTTGTTCAGGTAAGCTGTCTGTATGTGTTTCTGCCGCCTGGTCTTGTCCTCTCCATCTGCATCTGAGTTCTACTTTGACTTAGTGTTTATGTATGGGTGTTTTCTCCTGTTTCCAACAGGTATTAGATGAGGGCTCCATGGATAAGTTAGTTGTTGATCTCACTCTCCCGGAAGGGCATTTATGGTAGCCTTTCCACGGAAGCTCAGATTGTTATTTGGCAGCAGTCTTGTAGTTCTCTAGACCTTTCTTTGTGTTCAATTTTTTCTTCAAACCAATATTGGCTCCCTCTTTTATGTTCTCTCTCTCTCTCTCTCTCTCTCTCTCTCTCTCTCTCTCTCCTGTCTTCTATTCCTAACCAGGCTCAATCTTCCTGGTCGCACATGTTTTCCTTTCCTCCCCCTCGTTTTCTCCTACTTCTCTCTCCATTCGCTGCCCCCCCCCACTTCCTCTGAGCTCTGGGGGACTTGTCCCTTCCCGGTTCTGTGAGGGACTTTATATTGAATCTCTTAGAATACACCTTGTATCCTAGTTCCTCTGGTGGTGTGAATTATAGGCTGGTGATCCTTTGATCTAGGTCTAAAATCCATCTATGAGTGAGTACATACTGTGTTCCTCTTTTTGTGACTGGGTTACCTCATTCAGGATGCCATCCACTTGCCTGCGAATTTCAAGATACCATTATTTTTTTCTGCAGAGTAGTATTCCATTGTGTAGATGTGTCACATCTTCATTAACCATTCTTCAATTGAGGGGCATCTAGGTTGCTTCCAGTAGAACCTTGTTCTTTTGTTGATCTCAAGCTGAGCGTTGATTCGCCTGGAGGCTCAGTTCACATTTTATTTTTCTGTAAAAATGTTATGAATTAATCCATCTGTTGTGTTTGTGTGTGAGCACGCCCTTGCCACAGCACACGTGGGGGTCGGAGGCCCATTTGCAGTTGGCTTTCTCCTGTCATTGTATGTGACCCGGCTCAGACTCATGTTGTTAGGCTTGGAGGGAAGCTCCTTCTCCTTCCCCACCGTGCCATTTTGCAAGCCCAGCTTTTACTTTTCAAGCATGGGTACTTCATGGGGTGCTGTACACCCCCACCTGCATGGCTGTATCCGAAGGCACATACTGTGTGCTTTCTCTCTCGGGCCATCAGAGATCGGTTCTTACCTGCAGTCTCTGTAGCCCTGTGATCTGGGAAAACTTGTCTTGGGGATGGGACCTCACTGAAGTCACCTAAGTCATCGGCTGTCAGGCAGGGTCTGTAGCACGAGTGAGTTCTAATAGGTCTTAATAAAAGCGCGGGGTCAGATACAGGGGAAAATGTTGAAAGGTCAGAGATATGAAGGATCAAAACCACAGCCACACTTTACTTCGCGAACTTCCCAGTCCACGAGAGACTGAGCTCCTGTCTCCTCCTGCCTTATCACTTCCTCTCTCCGCCCAGCAGTATCACTTCCTGTCTGTCTATACAGACCTCCAGACCTCTATGGTTAACTAGTGGCTAGCTCTGCCCTCTGATCTTCAGGCAAACTTTATTTGTTAGAGTATAAACAAGATATCTCTACAGGGTCTGCCCTTAGAGAACACGGAGACTCCCAAGCTGTACATAGGCGCACAGAAAACAGTAGCAGAATCCATTTCTAGGCCGTCAGCTTCCATATATTCCTCTCCATAAAACTGCTGTGCCCGAGAGGGCTCTGGGACCCCGCTCTCCTTTCCAGTCCTCCCTAGTCGGATGCCCTCCTGGCTGAAGTTGCAATTCAGGGTCACACAGTCCCCTTTGAGGCGAACGCCCCCAATGGCCTCTGGACCTCTCATGAAGCTCCATTTCTCGAAGGTTCTGTCACCGGCCAACAGTGCCACCCTAGAGACTCAGCCTTAAACTTATGGGCTCTTGAGGGTCACTCCCAGAACATAGCGACTTGGTAGGACTCTGAGCCTCCTGATGAGGGGCCCCATGTGATAAGCTGCTGTGTTTTTAATGTGTTGAGGGGCAGAGGGCCCCTCAGGGTTTCATGGCACTGTTGTTAAGTAAAGGATTGGGGCCCTCTGGGTTGACATAATGCTGACCTCCCTCTTTCCTGTTTTTGGACTCAGCCTGACTCTCATGGCTCCCAAACGCTAGTGATTTCTAAATGGTCACAGATACCTCGGTGGCATCTCTACCCCCGGCTATCCCCTTCCCCCTGCCCTGTTCTGCATGTTCAAGCACGATGAAGGGTAGCCTGTTCAGCACCTCCTAATTCTTGACCCATGCCATCAGAAGGAAGAGAGCCACTCAGAAAGAATATAGATTATTGCTACTATTATTGTGTTTTATCTTTACGAGTTCACGCTCAGACTTCCCTTGTGACTATCAACAGCCCTGGGGAGGAAACGATTTATATTACCCCTCCTCCACAGTGCTGGGATGCAGCAGTGTTTGTCGTCCGGGGAGGGGGGTTTGGGGGTGTGTGGGGAAGAGCTTTTTGCTTCTTCTTGCCCTGCTGAGTGAGTGCCCAGGGTGGAGTGTTCCCTGATTGAGTGCTCATGAGACCTTTCTCTGAACTCTCCAGAATGGTCTCCAGCCTTCCCCTGCCTTTATCTATGTTCCATATCCCTTGTACTGGTGCCTAGTGTGAGTGAGTGAGTGGACCACCACCAGCCATCCTGCTTTACAGGCCTGGGTCCACTGTGCAAATTAGCTGGAATGTTCTTCTTGGGAGTGTGGTCCTCCTTGGTGAGGACAACTCCCATTGTTCTTGTAAGGAGATGTCGAGTGAAGATAAGAAAAAGCTAAACAGGTCTAGAGATGGGATGTGGCTCAGTTGAAGAGCACTTACCTAGCATGTGCAAGGCCCTGGGTTCAATCCCCACCACCTCCCCCAAACAAAACAAAACTCCTAGAGGTTCAGGTTAAATGGCCTTCTTCTGTGTGTTCAAGTTACTCCACTTTTGCAGTTTCTCTGTAGGAACTAGTAGATGCCTAGTAGCTGTCCCTTTAATGTGATTGGCTCACACGATGCTCTTTTAGCGTTACTGGGTCCTGTTGCCCCTGTCTGTCCATCCATTTACTTATGTGCCTATTCATCCAGCATCTGCTGGAAGCCTGTTCTACTCTATTCACTGTGACCGATGAAGGGTAGCTGAGGGACAAGAAAACACTTCTGTCTGTCAAGAGGCTATAATCAGCTGGGAGGCGTGTGCCAACCAGTCTGGTGGGCTAGGTCCATCTGCTACCTGTTCTTGTGAATATAGACAATGCGC